TTTCATACATAAAATTAGTTGAGAAGAAATGGTAGCGTCTATATGTCAAAAATATCTTAAAATGTTAAGCGCCAGTCCCTTAATAACTCTGTCAAAGAATTTTGTCCTGAGAAGGCGTCAAAAAAAAAGATATTTAGATTTGAACCTTTTTAGGTTATGTCCTATGTCACTTGAAAAAAGTCGTGTTTCCTGTGGTTGTTTGATGTTAGCTGAATACATAACACATAATTGAGAGTTTTTAGATTATTGTATCTCTATTATATATTTGCATACTATAAGTGTATATTTCTGGCATGGTTCCAGGGCCTTTATATTATAGTGACATTCTCAGAAGGGCTAGAACCCAGAGCCGTAAAGCCAGTAAAAAAACAGTGACATTTTGTTTGAGCTAGTGTTGGCATAACATTAAATGGAATTGTTACATAGTACTATGATTGAGATAATGTATTATTGTAGGAAATTCTTTGTAAGAGACTTATTCTCAGCCATATCACTTTTTTATTATTATTACTGATAATACAGTTATTACTAATAATAACTGAATATAAAAATATTTTGTGTGTTGTGTTGGTAGTCTTACAAAGTGTATACGAAATTTTTTTTTTAAAAAAAAAAAACTTCTAATAATAACTGAATATAAAAATATTTTGTGTGTTGTGTTGGTAGTCTTACAAAGTGTATACGAAAATAGTATGAATATACTAAAGGGCAACAATTGAATAGAGTAAAATGATTTAAGTCATTTGATATTCCCAAAAATGTTTGTTTTTTTCTGTGGCTTTAATTAAAATACATTTTTATTTGAAAAATCATAGAAAAATAATAAAACTCATTTTATATATAACTTATTTCTAGACGCGATAATTTTTGTCAACTATTTTTCGGTACTACACGTGCGCCACCTACTGTAAGTTAATATTACTATGCCTATAACATTAGCAAAAGTGAAAGCTATAAATTGACAAAGTCTTACTGCAACCTGATGAACGGTATGGCAGCGCATAAAATACGAATAAACAAAAATTTATTTTTATATATTAGAAGAATATGTATTTAAAATGACATTCGAGTGACAAGCAATTTAATATTACTCGATTTTCATGGCTACTATCTATAACAAATTTTAGTCGCAAATAACAAATACTTATCTAGCTCGTAATCTACTCGTATATACAGACAAAAAGAGGTAAGAGAGTGCAGCCTGCCCAGACGGCAGAAATAGAACATCTCTACATAAGAAAGTTAATCGATTACCAATTCTTCAAGGTTTTTTATTATGACATTTGTCTCCAATTTAAAATGTATTTCTATTGCATTTAGCAAATATTAAAATTTCATTACCATCAATAAACAAAGTTATTGAGATAAAAGAAAAAAAAATCGTCCATGAACTTACTTGTCCCTGATGGATTTTTATTATTACTTAAAGGAACAAAGAGAAAAGTCGTTCAATACGATAATAAAGTGAAACTTGGTGGTACTTTAAAACGTCGTTCGAGAAATAATTTAATAAAAGAAGGAGTCGTAAAGTCGAGAAAGAATAAATAATAGTTACATCTTATGCTTTAAATTGGAGAAATCTTAAAATTTTGTTTATCGTTTTAGGTCTGTTATTTGCACTATTCACTATTCACCCGTTCCATATTCTATTCACCTATGTCTTTTTAATTAAATACATAATATATACTGTGCTAGAGCAAGATCCCAGGGTCACAAGACGTCACATATTTTTTGACGAACGAAATAAGTATGATCGAGTAGTATTAGTATGTACTATGATTGCATGCCTACCTGCTAGCTCACCTCACGTTAATTCTCCCACCTGATTTTTACGTAAATATTAGATAATTTGTCAACTCAATCTATTTCTAATCTCTTCGTCTATCATGTGGGAAGCCATGTAATGTAAATGGCAGTTTAATTTTGTTTTGCTTAGTTTAATTTTATTACCTCCCACCCTTCCTCAATCGCGCGCACTATACCCGTCGCCGTCAATACCAGCACTACCATCCCCAGCACCATGAAGTAGACTCTGCAGAGTTTCAGTATATAAAAAGTACTCTGTGCTACGGAGGCTGGCCGCTAAGTGAGCGGCGAACCGAAACTACTGCTATTTATACTACTTGCTGACGCAACCGCGCTCCAATTACGTAGAGAGCGAATACGTAATACGATGCTACTGCGACGACTTACGCAAATATTTGCTGTGAAATTAACAACAGACTACTGCGAAACGTTCGCCTACCCTCCAACCACGCAACCAATTACTGGCCAACGCACTGTGAGGGTGACAAACGACCACGTTCCGAGGCTGTATATCATCAAGGAGCAGACTTAAACATGTTTAAGAGAGGCGAGTTGGAAACATTTATTTATTCATTAAGCTGTGCAACGTTACCGCTATTTTTTTTTATATCTCTAACTGTTCCAACACACAAAGTCGTAGTCCTTTATTACAAGTATCTAAGACTTTTACTTACGTGGTAGAGCCATGCTGCGGCTATATTTCTGGTATAGTTGTAACACGAATGGGTCGGCTCTACCGGGGAAGGACCACGCTCTCACAGAATACCAGCGTAAAATAACAGCTTATTGCTGCTGTGTTTCGTATGGTGAGTGTAGAGAACCGGAGACCCTTTTTACTGGAAACGAAGCATTCCATCTTAGTCCTCACGGGTGACAACGCATCTGCATTTTGATTCTTAATCGAAGATAGATGTAGATGTCTATGGGCCACAGCAACCACTTACCATCAGGTGGACTGTGTGCTCGTTTGTCACACTTGTCCTATAAACAAAAATACTTTAAAGGAGTGGTCATTGGCTAGACTGTGTCCAGTGTCCAAGAGATGTTTAGAAAAATGTGAATTATCGAGTTTACAATTCCTGTACGCGGCTAAATGCTCTTTATAACGTGTTTCGAAGTTGCGACCAGTCTGACCCACGTAAACAGCTTGGCATTCGTCACAAACAAGTTTATAAACACCAGTCTTTTTTTTTGGTGCTGGGGATGGTAGTACTGGGATTGACGGCGACGGGTATAGTGCGCGCGATTGAGGGAGGGGGGGAGTTCCCCTTAAAACTGGGTAGGACACAAAATTTTCTTTCTTTACGCGGAATTAAGCAAATTAGTTTATAACAACCCCATTACTAACGTAACAGCTTAATAAGCTCGAGCTCATACAAAATGTATGCATTAGATTTATATTTGTGCTCCGCAAATAAGTCTCTGAATTATGCAAAAAGCTCTGGCTCCGCGAGAATACTCGCATTCTCTTTACTTTGTACGGAATGCCGTTTAGTGACTCCACCCCACAATACTTAAAAGACAATTTGCAGTATATTACTCTTACCCATAATCAGTTCCCTCAATACTTTTCCAATATTTCTCTGTCTACTCCTGTGCACTCTGAAATCCTTAACTGTCCGCTGGTGAAATTATTTACCTCTCCACATCCATCGCACTAAAGCTCTTAATACTTTGAAAAGTCTTGTTAAAACGTATTACTTGTAAGTGTAATATATAAAATGCTTTACTTTTTGTGGGTAGTATTCTCTTTTTTTAAGTAACGACTTCGTGCTCAGTGGACTTACATATTTCCCCAATGACACCAACTCTAGGATGAGATGGGGTGAAGCATCGATATATATGTACTACGCACTAGATTTCACATTCCGAACATTGACTATGTTCAACTCAACTGTACTGCAATCCGTACAAACTAAATATTGTGTAAATTGAAGATTTGTGAATTCCATAAGATAATTATTATTACATTTTATTTAGAAATATGTTTGTTTAGATGAAAATAAGATATTTTATATTAATATCTTATTTTATATCAAATTAAAGTCTTCGGGCATGCGCGGCAGTAGTAGTCACGACATAGAGTAGGACACAATTTTTGTTTGGAATGGCTTCTCTAGTAGGTAGTACACTCAATGGGGTGAAGGATTCTCTATTCTTTAATATAACACTCTTTAACCTATATATTAATATATAATATACATTTATAATTAATTCAGTGAAATAATCTTTACATATAAGAAATCTGTAGAAAACTCGTGTCTGTAATTTCAATATTTTCTGGAAAAAGCAAGACCAGGGGACTAAACAAGGGCACGGACGCAAAATTAGTGATTTTTAGAATTTTTGTCTGTCTGTCTGTCTGTATATTCACGATTCACGCGAAAACTACTCCACGGATTTCCATGAAATTTTGTGTGTATGTTTGTGTTACGGAATTTAAAATAGGAGGGTTAAATGTTTTCCTTCCTTTAGATCAGTGATGCACAGACTTATTAAGACTAGGGGCCACTCGGGCAAATTATGAACTGATGTCGGGCCGCCAGAAGTATAGGTAATTAAAGACAATTATTAATTTGAAGCGTGGCACTGCATAGTGCTTACAATCTTTTTTATATTTGGCTCAAATTTACTTGTAGCAACACGTAAAACTGCTTCCAAACTTTCATTTGCAAGGCGGTTTCGATTTTTTGTTTTATTATTATTTAGTATTGAAAAGGTTTGTTCACATATATAGGTAGAACCAAATAAGCTGGCACATTTCAGAGCGTTTATGCGCAACTCTTTGTACGAATTTTTATCAATGCAGCGGTAAAAGTTCAGCAAGTCTCTTTCGTTGAATTTGTTGCGTAAATCTTGGTCGTTTTGAATGTCGATAATTTCTAATTGCATTGACTCTGGCGCATTTTCAACCGAAATCGTGAAAGGATTGCTGAATATGTCCAACAGCGGTTTCACTTTTTTGAACTCCGAAAATCTGTCTTGAAAAGATTGAATCAAAATATCTAGCTTTTCTACATAACTGAAATTAATCGCAGTTTTGTTGAATTTTTCAGCCATTTTCTTATAATTCGGAAAATGATTGTAATTTCCAGAACTCAATTGCGATCTGAAAAGTGTCAGCTTACATTGAAAGGATGATACATGAGCGTAGAGCTGGGATATCAGTTGATTTTTGCCTTGAAGCCGTGTGTTCAAGACATTGAAATGATTTGTAATACTCGTATCAAATAAAAAGCCAAATTACACAACCAATCAGGATTTTGAAGTTCCGGGACATCCCTTTGCTTTTCCGCCAGAAATATTCCAATTTCTTCTATTAAATTTAGAAATCGTTCCAGTGTCAATCCACGACTTAGCCACCTTACTTCTGTATAATACAGTAAATCTCCATTTTCGCTTTCGATGTCATCAAGGAATTGTTTGAATTGCCTGTGATTGAGTCCTCGTGATTTTATGAAATTTACAGTCGAAACTACCACTTTCATGACATTTTGAAATTCAATTTTTTTAGAACAGAGGGCTTCTTGGTGTATAATGCAGTGAAAGTGCATGAGATCTTCAGCATTTATGTTTTTTTCTTGCAGATGCTTTTTCAGCAAAGTAATTAGCCCAGAATTGACACCAATCATCGAAAGAGCACCGTCAGTCGCAACTCCCGATAATTTTGATAAGTCCAAATCAGTTTTTGAACATTCATCCAAAAGTACATTGAGTATATCAACTCCTCTGGTTTGACCTTTCAATGAACACATTCCTAATAACTCTTCTAAGACTTTAAAATCTTGAGTAACACCTCGTATGAATATCAGAAGTTGAGCTGTGGAACTAATATCAGTGGATTCGTCGAATGCTTATGAAAAAAAAATTCAATGATCTTAGTTTTTTCGTTTAATTGTTCCGCAATATTACCTGACAAAGACATAATTCGTCTTTGGATAGTCATACGACTCAGTTGAATTTTCTCAAACTTTTTTGCTGCTTCTGGACACATTTTCTTAGTGGCAATTTCTATGCATTCTTTAACAAAATCCCCATCATTGAAGGGGCGACTTCGCTTTGCTAGTATTCGAGAAATTTCATAACTAACTTCTGTAGCTGTTTCTGAATCTTGAATGGGTTTTGTAAACATAGCTTGCTGACCAATAAGCTCCCGTTTTAAAGACAACATTTTTTGCTTTCTTAATTCGCCTGTAAACTTGGTAAACGTAGGATGCTGCTTTTCATAGTGCCTTTTTACATTATATTCCTTTGCAATCGCAACAGAATTCTTGCAAATTAAATAAACGACTTTGTTATGTGACCATACAAAAAAGTATTTCTCAGTCCAAATTTCTTGAAACTGCCGATTTTCATCTCTAACCTTACGTTTCTTACTAGGTCCTGGCTTGTCCATGTTGCGTTCTAATCCTGGCTAGGATTAACACAGCACCTAAAAACAATTACAGTACCTACTTAAATTACCCATCCTTTTTTAAATTACCAAAAATAATTGATTAAATAGGTAGGGAAACACTTATTAATAACAGAGTTTTACTTACGATTTCACAACACAATTATACACGGCACTTGACGGGAAATCTACGCTGAATGTGGATCAAAATATATGACACCGGCTAGTCGAGTTAAAATCTACACTATAACTTTTGACACTTCACTCAAATTAAAACCGAACTGTCGGTAGCTGCGGTTAGCGTGGCTTTTATACCGCGCGTATAGATTCGAAAACTGTCTGGAGAAATCACGAAACGGACTCTGGAAGCTTCGTGTATCTACCTACGCGAGCAATCGGGAATTCGGGACTATTGCTATCTCGCTTGCTTTAACAATATAACCCGTGGATAAGCCGGCACCGCGCTGCCATCGTCACCTCAAGTTCCTCAAGAAAACGAATTTAACCGAGATCAGCACGAACATTACCGACCGCTGTTACTGACGCATGCACGGAGCACCGATAAGCGCACTTAAGAGCGCGCGCGTGAGATTCAAATTACTTTACGAACATATTTTTTTTGGTTTTATTCTGGACTATAATTCAATATTTTTCGAATGTACGAGAGTATTATGTTTGCTGTCGGCGGGCCACCAGTATTCGACCGGCGGGCCGCATGATATACATGTTACGAGATTGGAAGTGTCTCATACGCAAACTATTCAGGGTAGAAAAAAATAATATAAGAAACCTCAATATAATTTTTGAAGACCTATACATAGATACCCCACATGTATGATGAGTTTGATGAAAAAATTTTTTTGAGTTTCAGTTCTAAGTATGGGGAACCCCCAAAATTTATTGTTTTTTTTTCTATTTTTGTCTGACAATCTGAATGCGGTTAGAAAAAAAGATGCGAATAGAGGTATGATATTAATACAATTCTGATAAACTCACCTATGTGTTTCTGTCATATTATATTGGCAAATTTCAACCATTTACGACCAGATCACTTGTACATTGATCACAGATACCGAGGTATCTGTGGTCAATGTACAAGTGATCCAATTTTTCTAATTCTGTAACTTTGTTTCTAAATTGGACCCTACGTGAGCGAAGCCGCGGGTAAAAACCTAGTTTGAAATATGTTGGTCACAGGTAACTATCACCGTATTTTTTTAAGAATTTGTGAAATTAGAATTCATTAAAATCTATATGATAATTTATAGAATCAAGCTTACTTTTTTGGGAATCCCTCATATTAAAAGAAAGGAGAGGAGCTAATTAATTTTAACATCTTCAATAAAATCTTATTTAGAGCGAAGCCCGTACATATGCACGTTTGTTGGCAAAATGTAATCTAATATTCGGGTATTCACATTATGCATCGCAGCGCGGACATTATTCTGCTAGCATAATTGGTGATGTACGACATTATTTCATCTGAGCTGATATCGGCATCGGCATCTATGAGTTTTATCGTTCGATATTAAATCCCGGAGATAATAAAATCCCGGAGATATCATTTGAATATAGAAAATTGTTTGGGAACTGGTTGTATTATGACTGTCGCTGCCTCTGTCACCACATCTTAAACAACAATACTTTTCTTTTAAGTAAACAGCTTATCAGACACGCGTAGGTTAATTTAAGCTAAGTGAGTGCTGCCATGATTGCATGTATGACACCATATATCTCGAGCCTAGTTGATAGCTTCTAATAGCTTACCATGCATTTTATGTGCATCACTAAATCTGACCTGTCACAATCTTGCGATAGGATAACGTTGAGTTGAAGTTTCAGCATCACATTAAAAAAATTTAATTAGCTGGTTTTTAAGTGGCGCAGCAACATACCACTATTAATATTATTAATTTTTCAGTATATTTCAAAATTGTTTATTTCTATCTGTTTTGTAATTAACGTTTATATAGAATTTGTATTTAGAAAAAATATGCCATAAAAGAGACATATAGTAAACATTAAAATATTATTTCTACTCATGGAAAAATTCAGAGGAACGCAAAAAAAAGGTTTAATTTCTCCTGTCGTTGTTAACGTGCATACTGGCCACAAACAATAACAAACACTTAAAAAATTTTTTTTGAATATTTTTTTTAATTTCTTTTGTTTTTATGTGATTATTGCGTAATATCAAAATCTGAATGAAAAATATTGCAAACATTTGAATTTAAGTTTTGAATTTTAGTTTAAAGTTTAAATTTAGGTTTTGTTTAAATTTTTGCTTTGACTTCCTTGTTTATCGTGTTAAGTGTGAAACGGAAAACTGTGTCCAGAGAGGATCGAGTCATCGTTACCAGCATGCTAAGAAACCGAACCATAACTTCTTCTGAGGTAAGAGCCAAGCTACAAGAAGCTCGGGGGCTTACAGTAAGTACAAAACAGTGAGAAAAAGACTGAAATCGGCTGGAATAAATTCACACTTGCCTGCCAGAGTCCCCCTCACTGCTCTGATGGATGAATGACCATCTCTTTATGGCTCTCCACACTGTTAGCAACTACAGTTTTATGCAAGTAATTTTGGTGTTTCTATTGCTTGCAATGTTTAGAGAGAGCATTTGGGACGCAGAGAGTTTAGAGATTAGTCCTCAGAGGCGACACCGCGTCTGTAGCCTTCTTTGTTTGAAGTTGGCCGCAGGCGTCCAGGATCTGCAGTAGCCACTTGCTATCAGGTGAACTGTTAGTTCGTTAGTCATTTCACTTTTATAAAAAAAAGATAATTGAAAAGTTATATAGGCAGCTATGTCTGCTATGTACCACAGCGTGCACTTTTCATTGGTCTGTGTATTCCTTTGTTACAATTATTTTTATAAAAAAACTGAACCTCCATAATGAATAAGGCTACTTTTATAATTTAATGTTAACATTAATTTTCAATTTGTATTGAATGGCTTTATAGTGACGTTTGTCAGCGGTCTGCGCTTACGAAGTTGCCGTCACAACTATTTTAACTTAATTGAAATGCGGATTTCAGGGAATTTGCTTAGTTAAAGTTATACTATCTGTCAATTTAAGATAATCTCATAATTGGAAAATTCCACGCATACAAAACAAGTACAGCTTATTTGTCAATAAGCACTTGTCTATTTCATGTCTTAAACTATAATGTACTTGTTATAACATTTAATTAATATTTATTATCTATATGTATAGTATGTATAGTATGTTTGTAATATTGAAATAACTGGCTTCTGTTAAGCTCAGTGGGTTATTTGCATGCTATTAAGTCTTAAAATAACTATTTTTAAAAGTTTTGTTTGTCTGTCTGTACATCTGTCTGTCTGTTCGGGCTAATTTTAGAACGGCTGAACCAATTGTAATGAAAGTTTTCGAAAAGATAGAGAGGATCTGGGGTATATTTTATCTGATAAAATGACATAAATAGATGCTATCCAAGCGCAACCGCGGCGGATCGCTAGTCTATATATATATAAAATTTGAAGTGTCTGACAGTAACACTGAAATAAGTGCTTTCTATTAAACTCAGAGGATAATTTGCATGGTATTGAGACATAAGATAAATTGAGACTATTTTTAATTTTTTTGTCTGTCTGTCTATCTGTCCGGGCTAATCTTCGAATGACTGAACCGATTGTGATAAAACTTAACGAACAGATAGAAAACAATACCAAGAGAGATCTAAGATATTTTTAATTAGAAAAACATTTTTTTAAATACGACAAATTTATATAATAATAGCGTTTGACTATCTTAAATCTAAGAAATAAAGCGAAGCCGTGGCGAGTCGCCTATATATAATATCATATTGACGTATGTGACGGATCCGTATCGCGCTCGCTTAACATTTGTCTGAGATGCAGCGGGGCTTCGGGTTTGAAATCCGCAAAGAATATTTATCTTTATGACCTACAAATACTCCGGGTCTAAATGTTTGCTTAGGAGAAAATAATGTATGAAAAGTTGTGTTCAATTACTCTATTCGACTACTGTCGTAACCCAGTCCCCCTAAAAGCATTTTAGGTTAGTATACGAAGAATATCAATAAATCTGTTAGTGTTCTTTAAAAAAAAGCGATACCAATTACCAATTAAGTTTTCATTTTATTAATCAGCTCCAGCTTAAAGTCAAATATGAATAGCTTCAACATGACATCTATACTTTACCATAGACTAATAATATTTTTCTAGAACCGGGGAGAACCTTGGCAATTTCTATAGAATAATACGGGCAATATGTAACACTAGTTAAAATTATCATGTTGTCTATAAATTGTTACTACTCCCTAAAAATACTTTCATAAAATAACAAAAAAGATTTGTGACTTAATTATTGAAATAGAAT